TGTTCAGTTAGTGTGGTCACTTGCAAGGTTGGAATTGTGAACTGATCACAGTTCAGTTTACTCAATACAACACAATTACTGTATTGTTATAGTGTGCCAATATTTCTTGTTCATAAATGGAAGTACAGTCATCTACAAACACTAGTGTTATGTATGAGATACTCAGGGCAGTGATCATGAGGAATTTGGAAGTGATGCTGTGTAGGTGGGTAGGAGTCTGCTTACATTTTGGACGAACGTACCATCACCTTCATATGTGTAGACTTCTGCTACATACATTCTATCACATCCTGACTTTTGAGCAGTATTATTGAGCCCAACTTCTTTATTACAACCATCAAAACACAACTATGTGTAATATCAAGATCAGTGCCTAGTTTTGGCTCCGCTACATGTTTCGGCAATTAATAGCCATCATCGGGCAAACACATGGTTAACATATATATATATACCACTGAACTGCATAACTAGTAAAATTGGATACAATATTATTAAGTATATAAAATACTTGATGTAAAAATACAATAAATTAGATTATATAAAATAAAAGTTATAGTATAACACAAGAATAAAATTCTTCTACTGATGTTTTACATCATCGAATCAGTCGTTGGTTTTTGTAATTTTTTTTTGTAATAAAGAAGTTTTATATTATAACAACAGGATGCATGAAATGAAAATTAGAAAAGTATTGTTGAGAATAAGTCTTCTGAAATATAATGCTCTGAAATGTGTTTTAACCAACACTGCAGACAGATATAATTCCTCCATCTTCAGGATGGAAAATTGAAGCTGAAGGCAATGTGTTCCTTTGAAATGTCATTAAACATCTACCAACCTACACAGTATCATAGCCCATATCATCAGCCAAATGAAACTGCTGTTTGTGGATGACCCGATTTCATATTGTGACTGCAAACACAACATGATGCTTCAATGAGTATGATTCATGAATGGGAACAGGTCCAACATCTGTACATACGTAATCTGAATATCTGATATCTGGAGTCATCCTAAAGCTGGAGGCACACATTCCACCAGAACGTTAGTATCCACCTATCAGACTGCAGCGTGGTGTGTTTCACCAGAACCCTCGTATCCGCCTGCTGACTACAACACAGTGTTGTAGCACACAGTGTCCCCACCAAGGAGCTTCGTGATTATACAGCTTTCCAGTTTTGTCAGGAAAGTTACCCCAAGGA